CTGTTCTTGTCATCACTGGAGGAGGAAAAGGAACAATGTTGATGTCAGAATTTATTGTGTCATATCATGCCACTTCTATTGGAAATATGATAGTTGAGATAGAAATAATTTAATTTCTTTCTGTGAGAAAAAGTATTGGGCCATGGGAATAGGTGGTTGCGATTCCCTTTGGCAAGACACTTCATATCATGGAATTAGCACATTTTTCCTCATCACAACACTTCCCATCACCTTAAAGTCATGTATGGCAGCTTGATTAAGACCGTAGTTCCATTTCTCTACCCTGCCTTCTTCATTTGAAGAAGGAAACACCTTCAGCAGTGTATGAAAAGGGACCTGAACTCCATTTTTCCACCCTGCCAACAGAGTTCAGTTCTCTTCCCTGTGTGAAAGAGGAGGAGTTTGTCAGGATCTGGATTTCATTTCTCCATCCAGCAAATTAAAATTCAGTTCCCCTCAGCAGGTAGTTCTTTTAGTCAGCCTCCAGAAATGAGAGGGAGTCGTCTCAGAAGATGGCAGCAGTTCACAACCTGCCCTGCCAGTTTTCTCATTGACTTTCTGGAGAAGCTGTCAGAGAAAATTGCAAAATGGTAACCACATGATTGCAGGCCACTTGGTAACCACTTGTATGTGTGAACAAGTCAAGCATCCAGATCACAGTTGTGACTGTGGCGGATAGGGGTAACACAATGTTTTTCAACAGCCAGAAATGCTTTACAGGCCATAAGGCACCCTTTCTAAGGCCATCGTAACTTTGAATGGTTATTAAAAAAACTTATTGTAAGTTGAGGACTATCCATAAAACACTCCCTTTGGGATTTTCTGTGCTAGTTATCTGCAATATTGTTTCCAGTGGCTCTGGAAATTTCTATGGCTTTTGATATATACTGTAGCTGGAGATATGCAGATCATAAAATCATAGAGTCACCCATCATAGAAGGGACTTTGCAGGTCTTCTATTCAAACCCCCTGCTCAAGGCAGGTGTCCTTATACCATCTTGGACAATGTTTCTTTGAAAACCTCCAATGATGCAGCACCTATATAATCTAATACCTAGATAATGTAGAGATATGCAGATAATGTGGATTAAGGTATTAAGTTCTATACCCTTTAATTTCTTGTTTTCTGTTCATGTCTTTCTCCCTAAATGTGCCTGGTTTTTGTCTTTTTATTTTTTTTTTATTTTTGGCCCCATGTTTCTAGTTGCCCCTTTTATGTTTGCTGCTATTTAATAAATATACATCGAATTGTATTTTTATCAGGTATGCCTCCTCTGATCTGGATAATGGGATTGACTGGAAGCATGCTGAGTGCAAACTAAACTGGAAATTACAATAATTTCCCAACAAGACCAAGCTAATATTTTGGAATGTTGGATAGACTGAATGGAATAGCCTTCTTTTCTCCTGCAGGCTATAAGCTGGAGAAAAGGTATTAGAGCAAAGCTCTAATATCTTTTCACCAGCTTACAGCCTGCAGGAGGAAAGAAGGCTATTCCATTCAGTTAGAGCAGGTTAGAGCAGGATTGCCTTTAGTTTTGCTACTTACACTAGAACTCCATAAAGCTGTGAAAAGCAAAATAAAGACTGTGGGGGAGCCTAATCATATGCAATATGTCTTTTTGGCTTTGAGGATGGTGAGGCAATTATGCGCTGCTCACAGGTTAAATGGAGAAACTAAGCTCTTTAATATTGAGATGTTTCTTGTCCGTCATTTTTTCAACTGTCAGGGACAACACCCAGTGTAAACAAAAGTGGTATGTGCATTGGAGACTACCAACAAGAAGTGTGATCTTCAAATGCATTCCTGATCAAGTTGACCCAACTGACATCTGTACCCAATGTATTAGCGTAAAAAAGAGTGATCATTCTAATGAATTTCATATAACACTCTGAGCTGTGAATACTTGATTTAACTGTCATAGATAGCATCTTTGCTATCCACAGCACAATTGATCTTAACTAGGTCACTAGTGTCTAGGCTATAGTAAGGTAAAGGTTCCCCTCGCACATATGTGCTAGTCGTTCCTGACTCTGGGGGCGGGGGTGCTCATCTCCGTTTCAAAGCCGAAGAGCCAGGGCTGTCTGAAGACATCTACATGTCATGTGGCTGGCATGACTAAATGCCAAAGGCGCACAGAATGCTGTTACCTTCCCACCAAAGTTGGTCCCTATTTTTCTACTTGCATTTTTTACGTGCTTTTGAACTGCTAGGTTGGCAGAAGCTGGGACAAGTAACAGGAGCTCACCCTGTTACGTGGCACTAGGGATTCGAACTGCTGAACTGCCGACCTTTCGATTGACAAGCTCAGCATCTTAGCCACTGAACCACCACGTCCCCATAGGCTACAGTATCTATACACAGAAAAGCAATGTTACAGTGGTTTCACTTGCTTGCTTGACAATTCATGTAACCTGGGCTGCATATAATAAAGCAGAAACAGAAAAGAAAATATAACACAATATAACAGCTAATGTCAGCCCTGGAGGCCTTTTTTCTTTTGGATCTTCAGGGCTGCCACATTTAGTCTATGGGAAACTGGGAGGGGTGTTTGCATGTAGTTGGTAGAAGTAGTTAGCCATAACAACATTCTTTTCTCTGGGACTCAAGGGCATTCAACCTGCACCTGGAGAGGCATGACTGGGGGAACATCTCCAGTTGGGACGGTGGATTGATTGGACCATGTGATGGACATGTGGATGCAGAGGAAGGGACTTTGACTTTCCTTTGGGTGGGGAAAACCCAGGAGTTTTCAGATTCGGGTTTTCCCAGATGTCCCAATATGACATCGCTAATAAAATGGAACTTTGAGGAACTGCTGGCCTTGGAGTCTTCATTGATTGGGGGTGTTACTTGGAACCCTGACAGCTAATTGAGTTTCCCCCTCTCCAAAGTATAGCAAAACATAATTGCCTTCACCTATTAATGGAATACCAAAAGGGAGGGTATAACGAGGTGGGCCTCATTTAACTTGTTCAATGACTGTTCAAACTTATGACAGTGCTGAATGAATAGTATTCACAATTGATGTTCAAAGTTCTAACTGTTGAGTGTGCTCCCCCCCCCAGTCAACTGGCCTAGATTTCCAATCATTCATGGTCAGGTGATCACAATTTGCGACCTTCCCTGCCAGCTTCTTACAAGGAAAGAAAATGGGGAAGCCAGCAGTAAGTCATGAATCACAGTGATGTGAGGTTCTCACTTAATGACCTGTGGTAATTCAATTAGCAATGGTTACCAACAGCTTCCAGTTCATGCAAATCAATTTTCTGAGATGAGACGTTCAGCCTTTGACAGGGCATGGTAAGCAGCTTGTTTAGAACGGCAATGGGACATCGGCATAATTCTGTCTGTAGCACTTGGGGTTGCAGATTTAGAAGCAACAGGAACTAAGATCTCCCTCTTAAACCCCTACCTGGGCAGGAGAAGACACTAGCAAACACAACTCTCTGAAATTTGCACAGAATATAGAGGAGGAAAGGGACTTCTTTAACTGTCACCCTTGAAAACAGTGCAAAGGAGGTAAAGTTGCCATTCATTCTTCCAGTTGCAGGCGTCTGTTTACACCTGCTTTCAAGAAATAATGCCCAAATGTCCTTTAGTGTACCCAATCTAGACTGGAATGTCATTTTATTTATTTCTTTTAATTGCTTTCTGCAATGCCTGCTTTAAATTGTATAGTTATACTGTTCCAAGGACAGCTGCCTTGGTTTTGATCAATGCCTGAGGCTGAAGATATGGCTGAGTGAAAAGGAACATCAAGCCTGTCTCTCATAATAAATAGTTCAGCTTGTGCAGTATCTGAAACAAAGGGGAATAACAAGGTGACAATGTCTGCTAGGTTTCTCTTTCCAATATTTTCAGCTGATCACAGAAAATGGGTTAGACTGTGTGTGCTTTAAGCCTGTGCTTCTAATCTTCTGAATTCTCCGGGGCTTTTATCAAAAGATAAAACAGTGTCCAATAGGATATTGTGGCATGTTGGATTCTAGGCTCCCCAGAAACATCCTTGGATTACACAGTAAGGCAAGATGGAGAAATTTGTAAGCCAAATATAAGAATTAATTTCACAAAAGGACTGCCTCCATGCTCATCTTGGGAGGTATTAGTCAGAATATGTAAAAGATACGTTTGAAATTTCCTTATAACTAAATGTATGTTTTCTTTTCTGAGGATATTTTTCATTTTTAGTATTAGCACAGGTTTCTGAGTGAGGTCTTACACGAAACATATAGGGAAAATCTACTCTCCGTAAACAGGCTAAGCCAGAGCTTACATTGATTCTTCAACCATAGACTGCCATTATAAAGATAGATTGTTCACTGTTATCCACAAGAACTTGTAACCTTACTTAGAATGATGAAAGCACCCAGCATTGTGACATAATGTCACAAGCTTTGCTCCTTTCATGATATCAATGTACATAAGAAGGGACAGGGCTTGAGTTATGACATTGTGATGCTGCTTCTGTCAGTCCACCTTCCTTGATGTTCCACTTCCTCCCAAACCAAAGAATTTAAAAATGTTACAAATGTTGTGAAAAATGCACATGACATCTTTCCCAACTATTTTATCTAGTAGCTATTGTAATTGGTTACAAACCCATATTTGATGCTGATTATGCACTATCAGACATGAATGATTGCCATTCACTAGAAGGAACACAGAAATCAGTGGTCTTCAGAATTCCATTTGGGTAACACCATGCTTTTTGTACTGGTCTTATTTGGTCACAATAGAATCTATGGCCTCCCTTTCTTTCTTCCTATGAATACCAAGGAAATGTTAAATAATCTAATCTCTCAAAACACAGAAAAGACAATTGAAGCCCTAATGCTCCATCAGAAAAACAAATCCCAGTTTATAGTTGAGTATGGTATTAGCCTGATAAGGAAGGCCAAGTTCAGTTCTATCTTCAACCACAATAATTTACAAATTGAGTTTTGGCTCATTCCCACCCCAGACATGAGTTGTTAAGGAGATCAAATGAAGACAGATCTATAAATTTTTATGTATTTATTTTAAACAATTTATATCACCATCTATCTCGTAACAGTGATTCTGGGCAGCATGATCCTTGTGTAAGCTGTCTTGAACTCCTAGAAGAAAATGGGATATAAATAATTGAGCGAATAAATAAATAATGTCAAATAAGAGTGGGTTAGCTTTCAATTTTTCTAGGATTCTTTATCAGGCACAATGTGAAAAGTAGGAGACACAGAGAAGAAGCAAAAGAAAAAAATCATTATATCCATGTTATATACATATATACTGCTCAGAAAGTGTCAAGTTTATATTTATAAACTGACTACAGAAAAGGAGAATATAGTAAGCTACAGAGCAGACAATTGGACAGCAATATCTGAGAAGATTTTTTAAGCAGATTTTAGAGAATTCTATTAGTAAGCACCTTGAAAACATTGCATTAGTTAGAAGAAATCAATCGTGACTTATCAAGCACAAAACTTGCCAGGCTAATCTTATCTCATTTTATGGATCAGATAAGTTCACAATAGCTTGTAAGAATGTAATACAGTTGATTCTCTCCCCGTTGCTCCAATTTCATGGTAATTAATTTGTCTTTGGCAAAGTATTTCAGAATGTATCCCACAACATTCTGATTAATAGCTTGGTTATCTATGTGCAGGATAATGTGCAGCTCTGTATACAGAGCTGGCTGAAAAATTATATGGAAAAAGCATTTATTGATGATTGGCTATTAGACAGTCGGAAGTATCAAGTGTCATATCACAGGTTCAGTTTGGGGTGAGGCAGCCATACTGGTGTGCATAACCAAGTTCATAGGTCCAGAAGGGAGATCTTTCTTGAAAATATACCTAGTCAAGTTTTGAGTTTGACATTAGCTATGAGACCAGCGCCTGGGGTCTCATAATGGATGCCATCAAGTAAATACACCTTCTGAGATAATGAAAAGTATGTAACCCTTTGGCTGAAGTTTTGTTCCAGGAAGCTGATGGGTTTATTGCTACTGTACCAGCATCTTGCCTGAACTCCTAGATTCCATCACCAGGTTATCAGTGTCTCTGAGATCTATGGACTTTAACTTGCTGCCCAGTGACATATAGTTCATGAGTTCCATGGTCACCATGGCCACCATGACTCTGACCCAAGTCATCAAGTATTTACAAACACCAAGCTGGATTTGTTTGTTTTATCACGGTTCATTGAAACATGAACTAGGATTTGAATCACCATCAATGAGTCCCCTTATCAGTAAGATGGGTGGCATATACATTTAATAAATACATAAATAGATCCTTTGCCATAGTCAGAACACAGAAGCATAGAATTTAATGATTACCTGGAGCAAGTTGAACCCCTTGCCCCCCCCCACCCCCAGAAGCCTTTACTGAATTCAATATTCCTTGACAGTTTTTGTCTAGTGTCCAGCCTTGACAAAGATTGTTGAGAAGGTGATTGGGCTATAGCTTTAAATCCCCTCAAGGGTTTTCAAGGGCTACATCCCTTTTAGTCACGTTTCACATTGGGACATAATACTGAGACAAGCATTTGTTGTGCTTGATTGTGAAACCAAGATGGTGATAGTGCAAGATGGTGGTAGCTAGTTACCATCTATTGTTCTGGACCACCTATGAAAATGCTAATACAGTAGAACCTCTGGTCATGAATGCTTCTGACCATCACCAAATTGGGTTCCGGCCAATTTCCCCTTCCATGACATTTTTCTTGTAAATGCCAAATTTCCAAAATTAGGTTCGGGTCCAGACCAAATTGGGTTGCGACCAAAGTTATGGAATGAATTATAGTCATGACCAGAGGTTCTACTGTACTCAGTTATACATCTCAACCTCAGATTGACCATGCTGACTTTGCCATTGGACCATGAATGATCTTCACCCATCAAATATTTCTCATGAGCTTCTGTCAGAATATCAGAGGGTCTTTCTTCACACCCAGATTCCCTATATGTACAAGCTTATATATTTTTTCATCAGCTGGAAGAATATCAATGTTGCTAGCTCAGATAGGAGTCTCATTTAATAGTTGGCTGGACTAAAACCAGAGACACTAATCTCATCTCTGGCAGCTCACCAATTGTCTCTGGGCGTGCCACTACTTCTAAATTCAGCTTCTCTGTTGATATACAAAAGTCAAATATGGAGAGATATGGATGGATGGAGTGGGGTAGGGTGCCTATTATACACAATCCTTTTGGGGAAACTGTCACTTTTGGGGCCACTGTCACTTGCCCATAAAAGGAAATCTCAACTAGTAGCCTCAATAGGATTTACATAATCAATTAAAACATAATTGGGTTCAATCTCTTGTTATTTATAAATGATAACCTGGGAAAAATCTGGACTCAATATTTCAAGATACATTTCTGACATTAGTTGTTGCTTGATCAAGGCACATCTGAGTTAAAATACTTTCATTGTTAGGCAGTCAGATAAGGCTACAAGGCCACTGTGAATGGAAGAAAAGGAAGAGGATTTCATGGTTGTGATCAAAAACACATTGGCTCAAGATCACATAGGGAAATAGCTTCAAAAGTTACTTTCAAGCACTTGGTGTTATTTTCTCTTAAAAGGAAATACATCTTACAGCTGCTTTTGCCAGGACATATGGCTTATGGAAACTTTGACAAGCAAACAAACAAACAAAAAGATTTAGAATAGCCCTAGGGAGGTTACAAACTTGCTGCTTTCTAAGGAAGTTAGCATCACTGTTTTCAACTGGTAAGAGCGATAGTTATTTTTTTAAACTTCTAATAGAATGTCACCCTGTATCAAAGTATAAAGCGTTATAGCCTGCATGTAATTTGATTGTCTTGGCCCATGAGATAAACTGTGTTGTTAGGAACAATAATCTAGATCCTTTAAAAGGGCAAGAGAGGCATGCTGTGTTCCATCTACAAGTCATACTGCAAATAATGGCTTTGTGTTAGTTTCTCCAGTAGCATCCAGACAAGGGTCAAGCTTGTTTCATAATGGGAGAGAAGGCCACAACTACATGGTATAATTGTAATGAAGATGTTACATTTATCATCTTTATTATGAAAGATATTTCGTTAGTTAAAAAATGCCTAAAAGGTCAACTTAATATTCACTTGGTTTAGAAGAAAGTTAGAATTAGAATCATACAGATGAAAAACTGGAAATGGGAGACATCCAGATCCATGGGGTGCCATGGGGTTGCAAAGAGTTGAACATGACGTAGCAAATAGGGCCTGGTGGCTCAGCAGACTGATAGCATTGTGATTAACACCAGCTGTCTGCAATTACTGTAAGTTCGAATCTCACCAGGCTCAAGGTTGACTCAGCCTTCCATCCTTTCTAATGTAGGTAAATTAAGGACCCAGTTTGTGGGGGCAATAAGCTGACTTTGTATAAATATACAAAAGTATGAAGGCTATTGCTTAACGCATTGTAAGACGGCCTGAGTTTCCGGAGAAGGGCGGCATATAAATCAAATTTTAAAAAAAAAATTGAACAAAGACGGGGAAGCCATCTTCCCAAAGTAGTGCTTTCCATTAGTGAAGGAAATTCTACCTGATGTCTAGTCAAAATAAGTTTCCTTGTAACATAAATCTACTGTTTCTTGGCTTGTCATACCAAACACCAAACTATTGAATGCCCCCCAACCTGCAGTTTATGTACATGCTATATAGGAGGGAAGAAATCATTATGCCCTGTGGCAACCTACAAAGGAGGAGCTGAGAGAGGGAAAGAGACCTCTCCCTCCCAAATAAAACCGATGCACAGTTCCTAGAGAAAGAAGAATCACCATAATCCTAACCCCTAGAGCCAGCACAGAATGATACAGCACTGTAGTAGTTTTGGAACCACTGAGACATCATGGAGCAAAGGATAAATGTAGCATCTCCATCCTGGCTATGCCACATATCATCTTCAAGAGCAACCAATGCTTTCTCTGTACTAAATCCTGGCCTGGAAGTCAACTAAAATGGGTCTAGATAATCTACTTTCTCCAAGGTTCTCATCAACTCATTAAGCATTTTCTCAACAATCTTCCCTAAAAAGAGAAGGTTAGAAAGAGGATAATAGTTATCAAAAATTGTTGGGTCCAAGAATGGAGTCCTCAAAAGGAGGAGCACCATCACCTCATTTAAGGCAGGAGGTATCATCCCTCCCTCAAAGATGCTAATGCATGGACCCAACCACAGATCACCTCCTAGCTCTTTCATGAATCAGGTGGGTGCTGGATCTAATCAATAGGTGACAGCACAAAGTACAATGTCCTGTTCTTATTGCCATGAGGTATTCCCTAATTTGAACTTTTACCCATGTTCAGTAAAACTTGCTCCAAATCTTCCTCCAACAAACTTTCAGGTATCACCTCTGGTGCTACATCTCCTAGAGTTCCTTGTTAAACTGAAGAATACTCTGGGATAAATGCACAGGGAGAACCCACATGGAGTAACACAATCTAAGGCCTTGGCCAGTTGCCCATTCCTGATGGTGATTAAGGTCTCAGCTAACCATATCCTTGCAGGAAATCCCAAGTTCTCTCTAGAACCCCCTTGGTTCCATAAATTGTCTAGAATGAGCTAATAAACAGATCCTATCACACTGCAGAGAGGTTGACACCAGGGAGTTGGAAGGCAATTAGAGAGCAATTTGTCCATGGCAGTATACCAGTAACAATCCCAACTGTTCCCTTAAGCACAACTTCAACCAGAGTTCCCCTCATCTGGTTATTTGTGGAGTGGAGCATCTCAAACCCTATAATGGTTCACAGATTATGACAGCCATTCCTTCCCCTCCCCTTGGGTCTCACTGGTGTACATTGAATAATTAGGAGTTTTCCATGCAAATGTATTAAGTCATTGAAATATGGTTGTTCCTGCTCACCTTTTCTGGGCAGATGGTTAATCTGTATGTTCTGTTCTCAAGAAACTTGCACTTGATTTAACTTTATATCTCTATTTGTTTTGGCTAATCCCTGTATTGTTTGAAAATTGTTTGATATCAAATATTGGGATATCATCCTCTGCCATAAATAAATAGGGCATTAAGACCCTTAAGAGCTCCATATCAATCTGAGCATGTATTCTTTTCATGCATAAATTACTGATACTGTGCCAAAAACTAGTTTTCCAATTAGAAAACACAAGGCCTGCATTTGAACTTGCCTTCGTTAAAACCTTTAATCATATCTGAAAATATGTCAGCATCTAAGATTAGCAATGAATGTTTAAAAGCTACTAGAGATAGTGGCTAAAAATATGGGTTTAATCACAGCATAGACATATTTAAAGTCTATTCAAAGTAACAAAGATTTTTAAAGCTCTATACCCAAGTCAATAGAACACAATTGCTGTGTTTATTTAAACTACTAAAATCAAACAACTAAACTGTAATATGTTTTAATATAATGAGCTGGTTCACACAACATTGTAAGTCAATAGCTAGATTTCTAAAACACTCAGAAACAACATATTGTCCAATTTTATTTTAAACTATTCTTCTCTCATTTGTGATTTTGATGGATTTATGAATATAACTAAATCTCTCTGGTTCCAATCTAATATATTTTATTTATTTCTATTGTATATACTGATATAAGGGAATATTTATAGCTTAGGGGTGAACTGTGGGTTCCTTGGTGGTCTCTGAGCTTAGTTGTTTTCTTGTAGATGTTTCATTATCAAACTAGATAACATCATCAATCCTAGCACTAATGATATTACCTAGTTTGGCAATGAAATGTCTACAACCAAGCTCAGACACTATCAAGGATTCTACAAGTATGTTCTTAATGATGATTATGCAGCTTTTTGAGAATTAGTCACTAGATTATTTCTTCCCAGCTCCTTATAAATTAGGTCCATGTATCAACAAAAATCATGAGATATCCAGCATGAGTTTGATGCTGGCCATAAACCCCAGTTAGTTTGTGTTCTTCTTGAAGTTCAATTTTTAAAAAATAGTTCAGGATTTTAAATGAAATTCTAGGGAGAAATCAGAAAATATTTTAGCTGATGATACTGAAATACAGGAGTAAGATATACATAAAGAACAATTATTGGGACTGACAAATGAATGTAGCTCTTAACAGTATCTCAAAACCTTCCCCAGAAGTCTTTGACATTCATCTTCCTGTCTCCTTAAAAATCTGGCAAAGGCAGATAGTAACTTTAAGCTCAGGCTTTTTATTGCTCCACTGCAATTTTAAAATGCCAGCCAACATAAATTATATAAAAC